GCAGGCACGGTGGGGGGCACTGGTGGGCGCGGGGGGGCCGGGCAGCCCTGCAGAGAGAGAGAGAAGACATGGCCCCCATGTCAGAGCTCGGCTACGATGCTGGCACCGAGCAGCTGGGTGGGATGGAGGGTGGTGGTGATGCCACCAGCGTGGCCATAACCCCGGTGTCCCCCTCACCTGGTACGCGTGGTCGGTGTGGACGTGGCAGAGGCCGGGGGGGACCGAGGGGGAGGCCAGAGCCAGGTCGGGGATGGGCAGCGGCACCGGACCCTGCACCTCGGGGCCGGGAAAGGCGGGTGGCACCGAGGAGGTGGGTGAGACGGGCGTCAGGCTGGAGAGTCCATCCGTCAGCGAGTCCACATCCACGTCCAGCTCCGTGTAGTAGAAGTCCTCCTCGCCGTCGCTCTGCTCGAGGTCGGCTTTCCGGCTGCGGGGAGAGCGGGGTCGGGCTGGGGTGACTCTCTACCCCCATGGCAGGACCCCGAGGGTATCTGGGGGTGTCTTACCCAAGGTGCATGGTTCGGATGTGCTTCTGCATCCCTGAGGAGCTGCTGAGGACTTTGCCGCAGCTCTTCCACAAGCACTTGAACATCACCTTGGTGGAGTTCTGCAGGAGAGAGACGTCAGGCTGGCAGCCCCGTCCCCAGCGTCATCATCATCCCTTCCTCCATCATCATCCCCACCCCCAACCTTGCCTCCAACCCCACTGCCAGCCCTGAGATCCCCATTCCTACGATCATCCTCATTGAGGTCTCACCAGAGCGGAGCAGAGGGGGAGAACGGACACATGGACACGAGGGGATGGAGCAGGGATGGGGATGGCTCACCTGGGGAGGGTGGGTGGCTTGGGCGGTGGTGGGGCAGGCACGGGAGAGAGAGAAGACATGGCCCCCACGTCAGAGCTCGGCTACGATGCTGGCACCGAGCAGCTGGGTGGGATGGAGGGTGGTGGTGATGCCACCAGCGTGGCCATAACCCCGGTGTCCCCCTCACCTGGTACGCGTGGTCGGTGTGGACGTGGCAGAGGCCGGGGGGGACCGAGGGGGAGGCCAGAGCCAGGTCGGGGATGGGCAGCGGCACCGGACCCTGCACCTCGGGGCCGGGAAAGGCGGGTGGCACCGAGGAGGTGGGTGAGACGGGCGTCAGGCTGGAGAGTCCATCCGTCAGCGAGTCCACATCCACGTCCAGCTCCGTGTAGTAGAAGTCCTCCTCGCCGTCGCTCTGCTCGAGGTCGGCTTTCCGGCTGCGGGGAGAGCGGGGTCGGGCTGGGGTGACTCTCTACCCCCATGGCAGGACCCCGCAGGGGACCCCGGGGGGTTTTCTGGGGGTGTCTTACCCAAGGTGCATGGTTCGGATGTGCTTCTGCATCCCTGAGGAGCTGCTGAGGACTTTGCCGCAGCTCTTCCACAAGCACTTGAACATCACCTTGGTGGAGTTCTGCAGGAGAGAGACGTCAGGCTGGCAGCCCCGTCCCCAGCGTCATCATCATCCCTTCCTCCATCATCATCCCCACCCCCAACCTTGCCTCCAACCCCACTGCCAGCCCCAACGAGATCCCCATTCCCATCATCATCCTCATTGGCATCCTCAAACTCATCCCTGTCCCCAGCCTCATCCTCCTCTTCATCCCCATCCCCAAACTCATCTCCAACCCCACTGCCAGCCCCAATTATATCCCCAACCTCATCCTCCTCTCCATGCCCATCCAGCGAGTCCACATCCACGTCCAGCTCCGTGTAGTAGAAGTCCTCCTCGCCGTCGCTCTGCTCGAGGTCGGCTTTCCGGCTGCGGGGAGAGCGGGGTCGGGCTGGGGTGACTCTCTACCCCCATGGCAGGACCCCGAGGGTATCTGGGGGTGTCTTACCCAAGGTGCATGGTTCGGATGTGCTTCTGCATCCCTGAGGAGCTGCTGAGGACTTTGCCGCAGCTCTTCCACAAGCACTTGAACATCACCTTGGTGGAGTTCTGCAGGAGAGAGACGTCAGGCTGGCAGCCCCGTCCCCAGCGTCATCATCATCCCTTCCTCCATCATCATCCCCACCCCCAACCTTGCCTCCAACCCCACTGCCAGCCCTGAGATCCCCATTCCTACGATCATCCTCATTGACATCCTCAAACTCATCCCTGTCCCCAGCCTCATCCTCCTCTTCATCCCTATCCCCAAACTCATCTCCAACCCCACTGCCAGCCCCAATGATATCCCTAACCTCATCCTCCTCTTTGTGCCCATCCTCACTATCCTCATCCCCATCATCATCCCACCTTCCTCTTCCGTGGGATGGGCTCTCCGAAGACAAAGTGGGTGCCGTCGGGCTCGTCGGGGCCGTCGTCCGGCAGTGGGGTGGGCAGGAAGGTGCTGGGGACGTGGCTGGAGAGTGGGGGCGACGGGGTGGAGTGGGTTGAGCGGTCGCTGGGGGGGTCCCATCTCCAGTCCCCGCTGGTGTTGCTGCTGCTGCTGCAGCTGGAGGACATGGCGGGCACCTCCTTCCAGACCTCACTGCTGGGCTCTGGCGAGGAGAAGGAGGAAGGTCAGGTCCTGCCATGGGACACGTGTCCAAGGATGGAGGGGACGGCGTCACACTCTTACCTGGGGTGGGGGTGGCCGGTGGGTGACCGAGCACCAGCGGGCTGGTGGAGAGGCTGGTGAGCACCGTGGCCGCCATCACCTCGTCGATGCCCGCCTTGCCCGAGAGCTTCCTGCCAGCGAGAGCAAAAAGAGAGGGATGTGGTGAGGACAGACAAACTCCCCTGGGACCCTTCACCCCCTCAGCGAGGCGCTGGGACCCCCTCCCCACAGCGGTCGGGGTGGCTTGAGGTAAGGGACACAGGTGGCACAGGATGATGATCACCAGGGGGTGACTGGGAGATGGGAGCATCACCAGGTGCTAAAGCACCCATGGGTGCCCCGTGGGTTTCCAGACTGGAAACCCCGCTGAGCAGCGGCGCAGGCAGGCGGCCAAACCCCTGCTGTTTACTGCTCCGGTGCGGGGAGGGGGAGAACCCAGCGCCGTGCCGCAGGGTACCGGCACCTGCATCCTGCCCTGAGCGCCGCGAAACACGGGGTTTGCTCAGCTGGGGCCAAACAACTTCCTGAAGTGGAAAAAAAACAAAACCAAAACAAACCAACAAAAAACCCCCATAAAAAAATATAAAAAAAAAAAAAAAAAATCGAAACCCTATTAAAAGAATTAATTAAAAAAAAAAAAAAGCAAGAGGTCAGGAGCAACAGAAGCCATTTTGCAAAACTTTCACGCCGTGGGGGCGGATAAATACGGCGCTGGAGGGCGGCGATGCTCTCCCAGCCCTCGAGCGGTTGCGGTGGTGGCACTCGAGGGCTCGTAGGTGACACCTCGCTTCGTCACCCAGCGGGGCCACCTCCGGGCAGAGCCCTCGGTGCTGCCCAACACGGGACGGCCGGTCACAGCTGGAGACCCTGGTGCCGCAGACGAGCGGCCAAAGTCCTCCTCGTGCAGCCAGAGGAAAAACATCCCGGTGTCCCGCGGTGAAGCCGGCGGTAGTGGGGTGGTGGCTGTCACCACTGTCCATCCCACCACCGTCGTGGTCCTACCTGTGCCGGGGCACGGGGATGTAGGCTGAATGCAGCGCCAGGCATCGCTCCAGCCCCGCGTCCAGCACCCGCAGCATCGCCTCCCGGCTGGCCGGCTCCCGCCGTGGCAACAGCTCTCCCAGGTGTGGTAGCCACCCCTCGGCACCTGCCGGTAGCCCCCGGCCACCACAGGGGAGAGGAGCCTGCGGGAGAGATGGTGGTGGTCAGCAGGAGATCCCCCTGAGCTGTGGATCCTGCAGGGATCCCCTTGATCTCGGCAGGGAGGGGAGGTGGCCCAGGGAAGTGGTGCCTCCAGGCCACCCGGCCTCCAGGTGGGCAGGTCCATCTGGGACAGATCCCAAGTGGGATCCACCAGGGCAGGTCCCTCTGGGACAGATCTCCGGTGGGATCCTATTTGGTGGGTCCCCAGGTGGGATCCCAAGCAGTGGGTCTCTCCAGGGTAGATCCTGGGTGGGATCCCACCAGGACAGGTCCCTGTGGGGAAGATCCCAGGTGGGATCCCGAGCAGTGGGTCTCCCCAGAGTAGATCCCGGGTGGGATCCTGAGCAGTAGGTTTCTCCAGGGTAGATCCTGGGTGGGATCCCACCAGGGCGGGTCCCTGTGGGGTGGATCCCGGGTGGGATCCCACTTGGGGGTTCCTCCCAGGGCAGATCCCGGGTGGGATCCCGAGCAGTGGGTCTCTCCAAGGTAGGTCCCGGGTGGGATCCCAGCGGGGCGGGTCCCTCCGGGGCGGATCGCGGGTGGGATCCCCCGATGCTCTGCAGAGGCAGGAGCACCCACCACCCTCCCGCCCGGCTGATCCCCGCGCTGTCACCCACCGTTAAGCGGGGGGGAGAGGAGGGGGGTGTCACCCCGCGGGGGGCGGCGGGGAAGGGGGGGTTCCCTCCA